AACATGACTTCACTTCCGTTCACACTAAAATGGTGACCTGGTATGGTCATCCTCTATCATTACCCTACGAATGGAAACAGTTTATTATTTCAAAAGGTCTTGAGTTAGAACAAACGTTAGTAATTGAGAAATTATCACAAATTGTTGGTAGCCGGACCCCTTTAAGTTCAACCAAACATTTTTTTTTATATTTTTGTGTCCTTCAATAATTACGCTTCAACTGCACATTCATATTCATTTCAAATTTTGGGTACAAGTTAACGCTCTTCTAAGGTAACGTGCTTCCTCCTTCCCAAGCGTCTCCCACTGTTAATACACGACGCATGTAGTTTCTTTGCAGTGTCGTGGGAATTGCATCCTTCCCATGACATCTTGCGACCTCTGCTGACTGCGTTGTAGAAGCGGCTGGGTATGAACCAGGGAATCCTCAAGAAAAATAGCTCTAGAGAGAGAGCACGTGTTTACAGTTTTTTGTTATATCTGTTTCGCACTTGCGATTTTATCGACGTGCTATGTCATATTAGCATGAAAAATATCCTTTTTTTGTCGAAGAAAATGAAGCGTGACTTATCCTTAGTGAGCATCCGCACCTGAATTTGGAAATCGGACTCAGCAAATAAAAAGCCGTTGTCTTTACTAAGGCATTCTAAAGAAGAAAGCAATGCATTAATCGTTTATCTCAGTCTCTTCCAACACTATGTGTAACCAGCGGTCGATCAATTCGATAAATCTTCTCGGCGAGGTTGAAGAAGCCACTGTATTGCACCTCATCAGGTGTAACATCATAATGGTAGTGACCCCCTTCTCCATGATCGCTAAAGCAGTGAAAATGCTCAACGCGCAAGTCAAGGCCCTGAAACAAACAAACAAAAAAAGCATTTACACTTTTTATGAATCCGACAATCGAAACTCGTTACTATGGGATCGGGGAGTGGGAGTTTGGTTGGAAGCTAAAAACTCGCTTAACAAACATCCTGCCTTATATGGATTATTTTTATCTTCTCGGTTCAGTTCAAATGCTTCTATATTTTGCCTAAAATCGATCCTTAACATAATAAATTGGACAATGGCGAATATTCCGCCTACACTGTAGTAGTTTCAAGGGAAACTTACGACGTGAATACGGACAAATCAACTTCTTCTAGGCATTAAACCGATTTGTCAGGTATTACATAACTGACGCAAAACGGAAGTAGATGCAATTGTCCGCTATTTAGGCGTGTCTTCGGTGCCACCAAGTGCGCAACTAAAAATGTAAACAATAGGACGTCGGTTTGAATAATCCCTCGGCAACGCTGCTTGTGGAAACTCCACAAGCTACCTTGAACATGTCAGACACGGAGACCTTGGTCTTGTCAGGATTTAGAAGGGGTACGTTTCCCTTACCCCAAACAAAACAGTTGGACGAATGACATGTCATTGTGTCCTGTGACCAATTCGGAGACACCTTCCGAACTGCTCCTACACTACTCTTTAGAAGAGGCAACGGTATTCGAACCAAGTCATACATTACCCGAACGATCTAGCAAACTACTGAGCATGTGCTCACAGACCAACATCTGACCATTTGACTCCTTTACATTGAATCTTAAATGCATTTATACGATCTCCAAGGTAACTTACAACCCTCTCAATAAACTTACCGGGTCGTGACTTTCAAAGACTCCAACGCACACAAGTGGAGCACTCATTTCGTAAAACTTTAACCAGTTGTTGACATCAGCGTCTGTCTTGAGTGGAGTTTCGGAAAATCTTGGCTGTTAATGTGACAAAAGAAAGTACTTGTTCAACCTGTCTTTGTAAGTAAGTTAAGTGCATTAGTGCGATGAAATGAAAACCACAAATAACAACATTGATAATAGATCTGAAAAGAAGAAAGAGATTAATCAGCATAAACATCAATAGCCTGCGAGCAGACTCACTAGTGCGAATTTTCCCTGAATTCGACAAGTGTCCGTAAGCCTCATATAGCTTAATACTATAATGACTTACCATCACGTGAATCTTAGCCTTGCCTTTCTCTATCACGAACACACCCCCCAATCCAACTGGCTCATTTCCATAGTGACGAGCAAGGGTGTGCCGCATGCACGTGACAAAATTCTC